TGCAGCAAACAGCCCAAGTCCGGGGACTCAGGCCTGTCTCTTATACACATCTAGATGTGTATAAGAGACAGCCCACACACACACACCCCAACCCCCCAAACGAAACTTCTCTGTTCAAAGTTTTCTTTGCGGATTCAGGGAGATCTAGGTGAGCGCAGTCCAACCATGTTTAAAATTAAAAAAATAAAATAAAAAATTGACCCACTTTTGGGCCCAACCGGAATTCCGGTTGGACCACGGGGGGTCCAACCGGCCGGTTGCTGGCACAGCCATGGGGAGAACAAGTAAAACTGGTAAGGAGAATAGAACTTCACAGAGGGAGCATGACTATAGACAGAGACGGGTGTTATAGGAACAAGTCTGTTTGGCGTTTTCCGAGAGGATTTGGTTTAGACGAGGAGACAAGCGGCCAGCGCGGCTGCTAGGCTCTCCCCCCCCGCGCCCTGCCACCCCTGGGACCCTTCTGCTGCGTGTCTGGGTGCTGCTAGTAAGCTTCCTGGCCAGCAGAAGCATCCCAGGGGAGGCTATGGTCGGGAGGTGGGATGGTGTGTAGCAGTCCCCCCCTTGACAGGCGACTAGCACGGCAAGGGCTTGGCTGATTTCTATCCCTGCTGCTATCTCACCTTGAAGGCTCGAACTCATGCTTGCCGGTGATAAGCAACCGGACTGATGCCCCCCAGAATAGATGGGGCCTTGTGTGTTAAAAAATAATAAAAAAATTAAATAAAAGGAATTTGCTCAGTACGAGAGATTTGCAATGAGCTGAGTTTGTTCAGTCCCTCGGGCAGTGCAGTCAGGTGCAGGCAACAGTGTTACAATCACAGCGCAGAAGATGATATGATGAAGACAAAAGTGGACCAAAAGCAGTGACAACCAGAACCCAGGCCATAAAATTGCAGAAGTGGAAAAAATGAGATAAATGAAACAAGAGTTCTGCTCTGTTCGTCAAATGTGCCACAAAGGGAAGCTTGAGTCAAGGATGGCAGCCATAAGAGACCAGCATGGATCTGAGTGAGTGGTATACATGATTTGTCTTAGCCACATTGAAAGACCCCTACAACTGTTCTTGCCATTAGAGCTCAAACATTCTGGAAAACAATACACTGCATTGCCTTATTGCTGACTCAACATATGGTGCAAGTAACTTACTTTCCATCTGGCAGTTCGTATGGTTGTGTTGGGATATTCTGATATTGCTTCTCTGCAAAAACAGGACACACATAGACAAGTGTAAGGAACAGAAGGAAGAAGGCGAAGATGAAGTTCCACAAGAAGCCGAAGCCAAACGAAGACAAACATGATGAGGACGATGAGGACGATGAAGCAGACGAGGATGCCGAGGAAGATGGAGATGACGGAGAAGACGAGGCCAATGAGGAAGACAAGGACGAAGAAGACAAGGAGGAAGACGAGGATGAGGACAGGAGAGGGATGGGCACAATGAAGAAGATGGAGACGGCGAGGAAGATGCGGACCAAGGAAGGGACGAGCACAACGAGGAAGACAGAGATGACCAGAAAGATGAGGACAGTGAGGCAGACAAGGACGACGAGGAAGAAGAGGATGACAGGCAGACAAGGAGAACGAGAAAGAGGAAGAAATGACGGTGAAGATGAGAGCGACGCGGAGGACGAGGACGAGGACGAGGACAGGGACAAACACAATGAGAAAGACGAACACGACGAGGAAGAGGATGATGACGATGACGAAGACGACAAGGATAAAGACAGTGAAGACAAGGAGAGGGTGGTAACGGTCCAATGATTACAAACCAAAACAGAAGAGAAAAAAAAGTTCCTTAACTACAGCTCTGTCTACTGTTCAGCATCATGGTTGTTTCCACACTATACCGTAATTTCATGCACAACCATACCAAGTAGTACACATTGTATTGTCCATCTGTGAGATGAACGGCCAGGATATAATCCCCATCCCCTCCAACCTCCTTTCACTTCTATGAGGAGGGTGTGTATGGATCGTTTTCAGAGAATGGGCATGAGAATCACATCGACAACATGAGACTAACAGCACCATCAAGATCTACAATCTTTGCCTTCAAAAGGTTGACAGAATTTATGACATTTGTCATGACAGACAGTATGATCGTTGCCATAACAGGCTGTCTTCATTCTGCCTGTGTTTCTCGGTCTTTGAGTGACAATACCCTGTGGAACGTGTACTATGTGTGCCTCAAGCACCTTCCAGCCAGTTAGTGACAATACCCTGTGGAACGTGTATTATGTGTGCCNTATGTGTGCCTCAAGCACCTTCCAGCCAGTTAGTGACAATACCCTGTGGAACGTGTACTATGTGTGCCTCAAGCACCTTCCAGCCAGTTAGTGAATACGGCAGGACAATTATGACAGCCATTGAAAAGCTGCCGAGGGCAAGGCAAGGTGGGCTCTCCTCCAAAAAGTAAGCAGAAGGTATGATCTTTGCTGTGACATGCAGTGTTCTTGCAACTGTCCTACAAGTTCTCAGGAGACCATACCCAATGGATTGTGCACTGCACATGTACATGTACTATATGTGTACCTCAAGCAAGTTCAAGCAAGTTAGTTAATGCAGATGAACTATGACAACCGACGAGAATTGACCCAAGGCAAAGCAAGGTGGGATTTGCCTTCACAGACCGGGCTCATTGTACCTGTCCTTGTCAGTCCTTGACCGACAAATCCTCATGGATTTAGCAATGCGCATGTAGTTACCACGTACAATATGTGTGCCTCGAGCACATTCGCCCAAGCTAGTTAGTACAGCACATTAGTCATGACAGCCAAAGAGAAGTGACACAAGGCAAGGCAAGGTACGATGCAGCTTTCAGCAAGAGGCTACGGACTGGCCTGTGAGTGAGAGGCTTGCCTTCAAACGTGGAATCAGCTACCCTGCACACAGACTCTTTGATGTCGGCTGCAATACACCGCTGTCAAGGGACCAACAGCAAGCTTCATCAAATGGCAGCCATTGCATGCATCCATCAATTCATTAAACAAACACACTGGTCATTCCCTTTCTGCCTTCATTTCCTTTTCTTTTGCAAACAACACTTTTGTCAAAGTTTGTTTCTCTTTCATCACTCTCCCCATGATTTCATGGATAGCGGCCTTTATGGGCAAACAGCTAAACCCAACAACCACAGTGCCCTTTTCTTCGTTGGAAGGGGCAGCGCATCAGCAGCGCCTGAAAATATTGTATGCAGTACCCAAAAAAGCTCCTGACCTGTTTACTAACTGCCGCATACATTACCCAAAAAAACAGCTACATGTGTTTATCATTCGGGCACATGGACCACGCATAAATGGCAAAGCATACATTGTTTGACTAGTGTACACCGTTTGAGATCACGTCAATATACGAGTCCACATGATATGACCAATCGATCAACGTTCACACGACTCTCACAGACACGAAACATGAATACCTCACCCTGCCCGTAGATATGCTAAACAATTCCATCCACACGAAGTCGCCCAATGCTCACAAATTCCCACAAAATACCACACAAAACAGCATAACACCCAGTCTGCTCTTTAACTGCCCCATGACTCTGTCTTGTTTCGCCCTGAATGATGCATAACAACGTGAAAAAAAAGGACAGTATGCAAGACTCCAACGTATGTGGGACCTGCTCCCTTCCAAGTCTGGTATTCCAACTTCCAAGTAAGGGAGGATGACCTGGATGACCATACCCTTCCCCTACGAGGCCAGACCTTTCAAGATTATATCCCAAAAGACAGAGGTGTGAGGAACAAGCCCTCAAAGGGGCCCTATCAGACATCACATGTTCTGGGCTAAGGCCCCCAGCAAGCCAAGTGCCCGCCCTAAGTGAAGGCGGGCCTGAATATTTGTCAGAGGCCAAAATTCGACATTACCATATGTGGGTATTCAGGCTCTCGCAGCACGCCAGTTGGTTGGGTAGACGCGTGAGGCTCACTAAGCTGCGTCATACAGTTGGCCCAGGCCTTGAGAGTTGCGCCTGGGCACATACACACAAAGCAGGGCCGATACATTGGGCAGCAGGCCGTCGGCCTTTGGAAAAGCATTACTGCCTA